GGTTCCATCTCCTGGGTGGTCAGCCCTTATGTGGAGGTGCTGGGCGAACCAAGTACAGGTGGTCTGTACCTGAGGGGGAGTAAATTCGGGCAATATCGAGGTAGGATGGGGGGAAATGAAAGGGAAAGGAAAACATGTCTTACGGCTTGCTGCCCGTGAGATGTAAGACAAAGGGGCCTACTCACTGAGAAAACAGCTGAAGGGGGCCAGTTGTGGCCTACGGGAGAAGCGAGCCAGTCAGGTAGCCACGTTGGGCGCCAGTTGTTGCTATCTGTTGTGGCTCTAAACCTCTGTCCCAGGAGGCAGGGGTAGAGTAGGAGCAAGATCAATGACACAGATCTCGGGAGATATTAGTCATCAGCAAGATGCCAGCAAGCTCGTTTATTGTGCCGTTAAGTCTTTCTTTTATACCCCCTGCCCGATCCTCATTGGTTCATTTGGCTATGTGTCTCCTCTTCATTGGTGTGGCATGCTGTCCTCTGTTTGCTTCATTTGATGTTCTGCTTTATGGCAGGTTTTAGGTTAGCTTGAATAATGGAAGTATTTACCAGCCCATTTCCTGACAGAACCTGTGGTAACTTTCTAAGTAGGGGAGGAAGTCTTTAAAAGTTAAAAACCACATTGCTTCATTCGTATGGAATGGACAGCTCCACGGGAGAGATTATACTTCCCTCAGAGCCTCGTGATAAGTGTGTATGCAGAAGTCAAACAAACAATGGTTAATCACCCCAATATAGTCACAAGACAGAGGGGCGTTTAGGCGGTCTGGTTACATTTCATTTTTACAGAGTCAGAAAGAAAACTCAGCCTCTTCTAAGTAAACAGGTAACAGTATCTGGGTGGCAACACTGTGGTTAGTCATTACCTGGAACCAGGCCTCTGAGGGGAAGGAGGGGGTCCTTGGAACTAAGTTCAACCTTAAGTCTGACTTGCCTGAGACAAAATGGAGGTGAGGGTCAAGATGGAGTCACCCACCCTAGCACATTTCCCACTGGCTCTGGATTATATGAATCAAATCATTGATTCATGCTCATACTGTTCCATGAGTTGGTGTTGGGTTTGCAAGACCAATATTTTAACTGCATTGATTCTCTTTTTTAATACATGTGAGTAACCAATTTAAAAGACAAGGTTGGATAGTAACACCAAGGAGTAGCAGGAGAACAGGACCCATTATAGCAGTTAGGAGGGTGGTGAGCCAAGGGGACCAGGAAAATAGGGACTCATACCAGTTGAAGGATTCCGCTCTTTCTTTGGGTCTCTGCTCTAAATTCTGTTTAACCACAGCCAAAGTTTCTCTTTTAGTTCCTGAGTTGTTTGCATAAAAGCAAAATTTTCCTCACAGAGCCATACATAGCCCCCCCCCCGGCCCCG